TCGTTTGTAGATGCTGGGCACAGACCACCTCGAACACCAACGATTCAAGATCAACAACAGTAGTGATTTGGCATATTAAAAATTCGTGAATTCGTGTTATGAGCAGTGATCTCTCCCATAGCTTCTCATAAAAAATTAAGTTTATGTGCAAATACGAAACATAGTAACATGAACCTGCTATGTCAGGTTGATATTCAACATTCAACAACTTTCTATTCAACTATGAAGAATAACTTCTACAGAAGAAACGAACTGACAATTCGGCCCGCCGCTACAAAATGATGATTAACAAAATAGATTCAAAATATAACACCCGAGAAATCGCAGAAATTATACGGATGTTTAAAATATAAAGTTTCAAAATTAACACACACAATTATAAGAACTTTGTCAAATACATTAAAAAGCTCATTTGTGAAACGACAACAAATAAAAATTAAAATACTAAATCAACCCCAAAAGGAATGGATTAACAGACATTGATTAGCAGAATTTAATGAACTAAATGTGTTATAGAGTAAACTAAATCGTGATCCAAAAAATAAACAATTGGAAAAAGAGTTCAAAATTAAAAGAGACACCCTGGCACAAAAAATCAAGAACACAAAAAAATTACTTTTACGATGAATTCCCAAAATGTACAAATATACCTAAAAATATGGAATCTTATAAAAACACTGTCAAATAACAATAATCTAAATCACTGTGCTCTACCAAACCTAAAAGCCGAAAATGGTATCATAATTTCGGATGCCCTAGAAATATGTGAAAAATATTTTTGCGAACATAGGAACACAACTAGCAAACAAAATATCGTAATGAATGTCGCCGGCCCTTCAGACAAACAAACAATAAATATTCACCTTGTGCTCCAAACACTGTTAGGACAACGGATGAGTCGCAGCAAGTCCGCAGATGGGCGCGCCGCTCAACCACCGTGTCCACATCGTACACCCCGTCACTACAGGGACATTTTAAGATACAAGTTAGCCGTCAGAGCATGGGCGCGCCAACCCCTGCTCGAACGGCTGTTAGACAACCCACCCACGTGCAATTTACGTCGTAGGAGTTACTTTTTGCAAGTAATTATGGAGAATTTCAGCTGTAAAAGGGTCGTTCGCAACCATAGAGTACTATAATACACAATAGAATGTGGTAACTCGGAAATGATTTGTGTATTTTTAATTTTGTTCGAGGGTATATTGCTGCCAAGTGTTGTCTTTCCTATAGCCTCATAGTGTTGTCTTTCATATAGCCTCCCTTCCGTACACACTGAAGAAGGAGGGGGGTCTAAAAGGTGACGCGATTCTTTCGACCAATAAAACGCGCGCCCCACCGAGATGAATTGGTGGGAAAGCCGAGCCAATAAAGGTTCGCGTGCTGCCCTCGAGCATCCTCTCTTGTCGCGCACCTCTAGTTTCGACCGCACCTCCTGGGGAAGTCGAGCCCCTGAAGTAACCGCCTCACATAGTGTGAGATATCGTCGCGCACCGCTCTTGCTTAGCACCGCTGGTCTGGATCACATCTCTGGGACGCCCCAGAAGAAACCACCTCACGTCGCGCTAGCTCCTATTTTCAACGCACCACCGCAACAGAAGCGTCGTCCGCAGCATCAGATTCACACCCCGGTAAGTGTGTTTCCCGTAATTTTGCTACTTGAGCCTTTTGTTTATTAGCTAACTCGCCCCATTTTTTATTTCTCCTTATTGGCTCAAGTAGAACTCCCTCCTAACCTTGGCAAAGCAATAGATTTGGAAGAACGAGTGCATTGTCCAAGGTTGTCGCGTGCAACCGCATATACAGTCCACCTAGTATAACATCTCGCACAATAGGGTCAAGGCTCGATCTGGGAATCTAATTCGGGAACCCCTAGGCCCGCCGCTCAACCAGAATGGCTGTCAACTTTATTTTGTACGAGGACTGGCGTCGCCAAACCCGATTTGCTGTATTGACAGACTGAGTAAATTTACACATTTTAGACTTTTGATTAATGTCCATTCATTAAAAAATCGTTTAAATTTTAATACATATTTATTTGTAAATAGGGTGCAATTTGGCATTTTCTAAATAATTTGCATGCAAAATTTGGAAACGATTGTAACGTTAAAACACATCTCGTGTTGACATTTATACGTGTGAATTGACGTGTTAGTGACATTTTAGTGCCGCCCACTCCTCGTTCTATTATATTGTATTATGTATGTATTACAGTATTTTATGTTCGCAACTTTTATAGCGCGATTTAGGCTTCAAAAAAGTTTCGCTTGTGACGCGACGACAGGGGACGGTAACACCCCACACGACTGGAGTGAGATCAGGTGCAAAAGCAACAGCTTTGCGTGGAATCCGAGGCGCGAGGGTGACGGGGATGTAACATCTTCAACTTCCTGACTCCGGGCTGATACTGAGAATTTCTTAACAGCCTAATAACTGTTTTTGATCTGACCCGGCGTATTTCTTTAAATAGATGCGCTAACAACCACGAGACGTAGTATATCTTTGAAAAAACTGTCATATAATCAACAAATTATATGTAATAATAATCAACCAAAATTAAAAAAAAAAGAAATTCACGGTGTAGTTGATTGTTTCGTATTAAATAATATTCGCATTTTCTTAGACACATAAACTTGAATATTATTAACGTTACGTTAGCATCACAATAAATTTGATGTAAATGTAATATATGTACATAAAAACATGAATAGCTATGATAAGAACAAAGATTTTAATATTTTAAACACTAAAAACAAACATAAGCTTGTTATGCCAGTTATTAAACTCCACAGAATTAGAAATTCATTTATGTGGCAATGAATGCGCTTTTACAACAAAATACCAGAAAATGTTCAATATTTTTCAATGAACATGTTTGTGGGTCAAATAAAGGAAATTTATATAAAAAGGGTTATCATGGTATCAAGGAATACATAAATGAAAACAACCCATATGGAATGAGGTTATCGCTACCAGGTTCTATTGTGATTCGTATAAAAATTGTACATAATTATTTAGTCATAGAAATTTGTTTCAAAAACAATTTACATTGTGTGGGAAAACAATTTAAACACAACATATATAAATTAAATATTAATTAAATTTATTTATCAATTAATATAATTTTAATCAAAAAAATATATATATACATATATATATATATATATATATATATATATATATACAAAACGATTTATAACTCCCAATATTATAAAGTTATATATAAAAAATATGATCCCGTTTGATTTATTACTGGTTCTTCCCCAGGACGGAGGTACTTTCCGAACCAGTACTAAATCTATAAAAATATATTATTTTCTATTCGACAGGCATCTCGTGGTAAATGCCGACAAAGTTAGACAGCGCATGAAGATTAGGATTGTCCCAAGTAAGCAATGTAGTACTTAGGCTCTGTAGTTAATATACTATCCCTTTAAAAGAAAAATTTAGTGTACGTTAGTACGTACGTTGTTATGCCAGTTATTAACGTCACTAAACAGTAGTCTGTTTCGTGATTAGATTAAAAGGGGTGTACTTATCCATGAAATGAAAAGTTATATTCAATTTGTACCGTTTGTTCATTTTCAAATGCTCTAGTAGAAACAATTTATGTTGCTTAATTCAGTAAATTGTAGAGTAGTGTAAATGATTTAAAACATTGTGAAAAATTGGACCGCTATTTGAAACTGCACAGTACAACTTTTTTTTAACAAAACTCTAATTTACCAAAGATAAGACAAGTATAGAAATTATACTAAGCAACTATTTTTTTTTTAATTTATAATTACCCTATTAACTCATTTTAAATTTGTATCAGTACAATTTTTTTCAAATTATTGTAAATATTTGTAAGTATTTAAAGAAATACTTTTCTCTGATGTAATCAATGAGATTAATTGTAACACCGAATACACAATTATATTGTAATATTAAATAAAATATCGGCAATCAAAAATACTTTTCATATTTTATCTTACCTCCAAGTACGGACTCTTTAGTTGCGAACATGTCTTTCATTAATAAGCTTTGATAGTTTAAGCAATCTACAGAGAATTTATATTTGCCGACAAACCGATATTTAAAAATTTATATCAAAATCTGCCCAAAGTTTTGATCAGATTCTGAACTTTATTGACTATTTTAATGTCCATCCGGTCATTAGTGTGGTTGTGTAAGTTTCGTTTCCGAATGCGGATACTTTTGACTCATTAAAACATATAAAGAAATGTATAAAAATGTTTTTTTTTTATTCCCGCTTAAGTAAATTATTTATTATTGTCTTTAGACAAATTCTTCAGAATTTCAAATTCTTTAGAATTTAATCAATATCTTTTTTATTATATTCATTTTCTATACACATTTTTAATGAGTCAATATCCGAATTTATGATTTAGCAAACTTTTCATAATTGCGAAAATATTACCTTTATCGTAAGAACTCATAATACCCTTTTGATTCGCATTTTATGAAAGACTATAAAAAATTCTTTTGTATTTTATTCTCTTTTGTTAAATAATTTAATGAGTAAAATTATCCGAATTTGGGATTTTTCAGTATTTCATAACTCCGAAAGTATTAGCATTAAAGTAAAGTAAAGTTATAGGACCTTTCTTATTCGTATGTTATCAACGAATACAAAAAAGTTGTCCTATTTGAAAATAACAATTCCTTTCAAATGAAAAAAAAATCGGTTTGAACAATACGGCACCGAGTTGCCCCATGATAACATTCATTTATATCATCAGTAGGGCAATTTGAAGAGAATCGCATAACTAATAATCGATGCGCATCTAATCTAATCGCATAACGAATACTTATGCGCCGATTCCTACTAGACTATATACAAAAAAGAGAAATAATATAATAAGAATCTAAACGTCAAAATACTATTTATGATTGGAATGTGCCTACGCAACATTCCTATTATGAAACAAATAGCTTAACACCAAGTTCTTCGCTATCAGTTTCTTTGTCATCAACCCAACAACAACTGAACATGAGATTCATAATCCTCCATATTTAAATTCAATTTTCATAATAACACATTTGACTAGTTCAACTAGCAAACAAATAAAAAGTAAAAATAAAATTCATTCATTCATTCATTACAATTTCATGGGATGATGACGCCCCAACACTTCGCCTGTCGGTTCGAGGCTGCCACTCGAGAACCTTTTTTTTTTCCATCGGTTATCAGTTCATCGAGCTATGTGGCCGCCCATTGCCAATTCAGTTTACTTATCCGTTGGGCTACGTTGGTTACTCTAGTTCTACTGTGTGCGGATACCCGTTGTATCATTCCTAAGTTTATCACGCAGAGAAACTCCGAGCATAGCCCTCTTCCTAGCTCGCTGAGTGTCTTTGAGTGTCCTCATACAACAAACAGTGAAGCACGACGTCTCAGATTCACAGGTCATCACTGGCAATCCGTTCAATCTAGTTTTGAGATTTTGAGTTATGCCTGACGAGAAGATGTATCGCAATCTCCCGAACGCTACCCATCGAGTTGAATCCGTTGAATTGAAATCGAATGAAATCGTTGAATCCTGGAGTTGAACGGGGAAAATAAATTGGTTGCGCCGAAGCAACCTCGCATTTTGTTTTGTTAGTTATATTAGCCGGTAGAACCTCTCCTAGCTTCCGTTCCCTTCCCAAACGAGCCTGCCTAAGGGGGGGGGGGACAACATTGATGGCCCTATTATGTCTCTCCAATGGGAGGCGCGCTCCTCTTAGTCGAGACGAGACGAAACTGAAAAGGACGTGCGCCGCCACATGTTAGTCGCAACACTGTTTCGTCGCCTCAAGGCCTGAGAGAGAGACCGCTAGCAGCTACCCCAGGCAAATGCCGGGTCGTTAATTTTGAGCTGTTTTTATTTTGTTATTCCCTTTTTCACAGCAGCTGACGTTGCCGTCGTGCCGAATAACTTATTAGATTAAATATATAGCAAGTATATTTGTTCAAAGACTCCTACGTGCCGCGGCCGCCATTTTGTTTTGGCTTATAACGAACCACGCTGATACAGTCCACCTAATTGTTCAACCCGCAATACCTTTCGTCATTTGCGCACTCCTAATTTTTGTGATCATTCGTATTAGAATCGAACCAGTGACCTATGGCCCCATCATTATTAGTGGTTTTTCGAGCCAGATATGAACTGGCAGTCTATGTCCTCATCAAGTCGAATTGCTGAATTGAGATTTGGATATACTCTAGTTTAGTCGCGCGTAAGTTCCTAAGAAGATTTTTTGGATTTTTTGACTGTTGGATTTGTCGCCAAAACGCAATAGTAGCTATATTTTTTAATTTCGTAGTTGCTCTTTTTTGTTTGTTTACACTATAGGTAAACGGTGACCTATTTTATATAGTTTTTCCCGCAGTTGTTGTCTGTTTACTTATATCACACCGCAATTCACAATATTTTATATGAATTTATATATTAGTGGATTCCCGCATAAACACTTGATTTTATTTGGTTAGTGCATACTACAAATAACCGCCTCCTAAATTCCTTCGCAGTCTTATACGAGTAATGTCGCTCACAATCACATTCAATTTTATGCCATAAATCGTTTCGTTTAATTTTTTTTCTAAATATTAATTTCAAATTCAATTTTATTTAAATTTTATATTTCCAATTAATTTTAAATTTCAATTATATAATATAAATAAAATATTTAAAATAAATAAAACAAAAAATGCGAAGAATTACATTATATCTTCTATGTATACACTATGTACCGACTTCTGAAACAATTATGTAAAAAAATGTGTTATTCATTCCAGATCGGCTTTAGTTTTAATTAAAATTCAAATATTAAACGAGTTCGACAAAAAAGGAGTTTCTATGTTCGACGCGTATGTATGACTCTTGTCAAACTTACTGGACTCGAAGCTAGTTGCAGACAGCGTGAACCGTTTAGACGCCCTGGTATGTAACAATAGGGTCGTCTTAAGATGGGTTCCAGATCACGCAGGTATTGTAGGCAACGAATTTGCCGACAATCTTGTACGGGAGGGCTCAAAGACTATACAATTTGGACCTGAGCCATTTTGTGGAATCTCGAGAGGCCTAGCCCGATTGACCCTTTGAATCTCTTTATCACAATAAATCACTTAAGATCTAGTCTGATACACCGGGTTTAAAACATTCCTAAAACCTTAATCCGGGCATTTGATCGTAAATTCGCTTCAGAAGTCCTTGGATTAATTAAAAATAAATTGCGCATTCTGGCAAGAGCCCTAACTGCACACTGTTGTCTTAAAAAGAACATGTCCATCCTGGGACTAAGCAACTCAATGTATAGATTCAGTTCGATAACGGAAGAAACGCCTCTGCACGTCCTAACTGATTGCGGACCCTTAACCCTCGATGACTCGCGCGGTTTTTTAGCCCCGCGAGAACTCGCGGGGTGTTGCGGCCACCCCATAAACTTGAACTAGATTTATAGACATACGGTTGCTGTAAGTGCAATTATGAAAACATTTTATTCATTTGTATGGTTTGTGGTATAAATTAAAAAATAGAAATTTTGACAATCATTTTTTAATTATTTTTTTACAAAACATTATAATAATCAGACTTTTTGTCCGAATATTGAGACTATTCCTCAAAAAGACTAAATAAAATTAACTTCTTACATTCTAACAAATATTTTTTATCAAAAACCAATTATAAGGAGTGCTTGAGGAGTTTGCAAAATTGTTTCTCATTTCTCACTACATGAATCGCAAATAAACTTCATATGTTTTTGGCACATAGATTTTTTACAAAAATTACAGTGGCTCATTGTTTTTATGTCTTTGGAACGAGGACAAACTATGCATCGCTGCTTTTTTGTCGGTGACACTCCTTCAGAACTTATCCCAGGAGCATTCAACATTCTCTTGAGTAATCTCGGTAACGAAACTTGAGTAGATCTCTTTTGAATTTGTCTTTGAACCATACTCAAACCAACAGATTCCAAAAACTCAGTTCGTTCCATTTTTGGTTGGGTTTGCGCGACGTTACAATTATGGATAACATAAGCATTGATACCAGAAGTATCCAGAATGTGATAAAAAAACCTCAGTGGCCATCGTGAACGTATCCTTGAAACACTATAGTTACCACACATTTGGTCAGCCGTATCAACGCCACCTTTTGTTTCATTGTAGAATAAGACTATTTCTGGTTTTTGCTCATTAGTGGCTGTTGTGATAATGTTGTCATTATTGTCATGCATTGTAGATATTAGTAATACATTTTTTTTTCTGTTTAGGATATGATACAAGAGTCAATGGCAACTTGTAGTGAAACCCGAATATAGAAGTTCCAACTTTTCGTTGGTTGACAAAAGCTGTGGGTAACTCTTTTTAATTTTTTCGCAATGTTATTTTATTTTTCAACAGTTTTTCTGCTAACGGGAGGTTAGTATACCAATTATCACAAGTCAGATTCCTTCCAGAACCTAAAATCGGTGTACATAATCGCATTACTATATCGGTTGGCTTGTAGCTCACTTTGTAAGGTCCATTTGGTTGTTGAGCTAGATATGGCTCACTTTGATAAGTGTAAAATGTCTTTGCATCGCATAATGCACAATTTTTCAAACCATATCGCCCGGGCTTACTTGGTATATATTGCCGAAAAATACAGCGCCCCCGAAATTTCAGTAATTGTTCATCTATCGTGAAGTTTTCGTTGAGACTATAATTTTCAATACAATGATTGTTGAATTGCGTAAAAATGTTTCTGATTGGGGAAAATCTGTCTGTAGCTTTTCTTGACTCACGAGTGTTTACATCATCAAAGCGCAAACATTTTAGAAAGAAAGGAAACCTGTTGTAGTTCATAGTTTTGTGAAAAATTGCAATGCCTAATCTAGACTCATCCCACAAATCTTGAAGCTTTCTATGACTAGACTTACACAACCCAGACAGGATTAGTAAACCAATCAAAGCTTCTATTTCCGTTTGATCGGTCTTTTTGCAATCTCTTTCACGTGCGTATTTACTGCAAATTTTCTCAATACACGTATTTGTGAAAGTGGTTATCTCTGCTATCATATCATCGGTAACATAAAGTTGAAAACACTCAAGTGGAGATTTAGAAAACTTAGCCATACCTTTTGGACCTGGAGCTTCAGACATTATATTTTGAGAACGGGTTCTTACTGCAGTACGTCCCTTTACTTTGAACCACTTAGTTATTTTATCCTTAGCTAAGAAGAAGCGCTCCTGAGTTTCAGTCTCTTCTGCCTCAGATTCTTCTGACGATGAAGCATTCTGCTCTGACATTGAATCATGATCAGATTCTTCAACGTAATCATCATCGATGCTGGCATCACTTTCGACGGCAACGTTGTCTTCATTGTCCGACATAACAGCTTCCAACATAGCTCTCCAGCTTGCTTGCTTAGACTCCCAACTCATCTGAGAAGAAAATGAAATAAAAACATTGAAATGTAAATAGTAGTAGGTACTTACACACAAAAATATCTAATATTCATGTCTATTATTATTGTTCACACATAAATCGGATAACTTACATACATTTACAATAAATTCTAATGAAAAAAGGTTAAAAACAACTTATCTTGCTGTTTTAGTAAATATGAAAAAGTATTTCACGAGAACTCGCGGGGTGTTGTGAGCACCCCACGCAAACTTTGACACGTCCTTGCGTTGCAAGCGCAATCGCCACACTGCTCCTCCCACCTCGATTCGTCGCGGTTGATTGTTATTTGAAGCTATTTAGACGCATACGCTCATGAACAAACAAATAGGCATTGATTTTTACGTTTGAAAATCTCTGGGGTGCTGTCAGCACCCCGCGCGAGTGCTCGCGGGTTAATGCGCAAACGTAACACTCATCTGGGAAACTATGTACTCCGCCCAGAAGAAGTGAAATTGTTCACGGCTAAGCAACTCCTTCTATTCATTGAAAACATAATAATACAACAATAGATCTTTTAGGTCGCATCAGGTGATACTGATCTCTTTCCCTAGATCTGCATAGCTGCTCGCACATTAAAAAAATGTATGCCTCTTTAGCGATTTCTCGAAAACAGTTGAAGCGATATAAACAATTATTTTATTATTGAATATAAAAGAAAACATAGTTATAGAAGTAAATCATAGAATATTCATAGTAGTTATTATATCAGAGTAGTGGCAAAATTTATAATGTAGCTATTAAGACATTCTAGTTTTTGACATATTTTATGATATTCATTAGCCCACTTTCGTAACTTTTATTCTTTTCCTGTGCTTATACGCCTTTTTTTTTTTACATGGGGAAATGCCTACGCATACCCGCCTCGCGGGGGCAAGGACGGGTTATGTCGGACTCGCACCGACTAAAACCCCATGGTGTTCCACCTATGTCGCATATTGGCAGGGCTACGGGAACGCTTTCGCACACATCCGCGGCCCTACTAGCGCCTGCCGCCCCATGGCAGCACTTCCTCGGGAGAGGAAAATTCCTCCCCGTTCTCCTTCCCAGGTAAGGTGCACCATAACATATGGCGCGCCTTCCTCCACGGCCTCCAATTACGTCTGTGCAACAGACGTCCCCGCGTCCGATGCACCAAGGCCATGGGGCCAGGAAAAACGAGCACTTAGAAGTACTAGCCTTCCCGACCCCAGCGGCGGATCTGGTCTATGGCTCCGCCGCCAACCAAGATTCGGCTGCGGAGGGTAGGGAGAGCGGCGCCTCGCAATACCGACAATCCTCTCCCCCCGCAGCCCCACCACCACCGCATCAACGGTGCGGCCCCGTTTGAGTCGCGAAGGATAGGGCGAGTGGCGCATCGCCATACCAACACTCCTCTTCCTCCGCGACTCCACCTCGGCTGCAGCGGTAGAGGGTGCGCGAGTCCCCACTCGCTGCAGTCCACCAGCACACATCCAAAGTGGGCTCCCCAAGCCCACTCGGATTGGACACCTCAGGCCGGCCCTTCACCTCGGGCCAGCCACGTGGGTTCCTCTTTGTTCACCGTCACAGACCAAGCCACGGCTACTAAGCCCCCCCGCCACGACAAGGCGGGAACCCGTTCGGGGGGGTGCTTTATACGCCTAAGTTCCAACATTTGAGAATCTATTACATATGTATGTTATGAGAATCTATTTTATTTTTATTAGTATTTGAATTTTGTTTTTACTTTTATTATACATTTATTTATTTCATTATGTTTTAATTTTATTTTGATTGAATTCTATTGATGAAGTAAGGAATATATTATCAGCAAAATGTTTTCTCTTCCGTGTAGCTACGGTGTAAGAATATCTACCACCGCGTATCGTTCCGCGTGTGTCGTGAGAGGCGACCGAGCGAAACTGAAACAGGAGATGGGCAGCAGCATCTTCCTGATGACTACTCAAAATAATAAAAAACTGAGGCTAACGGTCTGCTAGCCAAGCGTGTTGACTACGGAAAAATCCCTTCTATGAGGAAATATCTGCGGCAGCCTTATGTTCAGCAGTAAACATTTATAGGCTTTAATGGATGGCAAAGGTTTTCCTTTCCTCATTGTTAACATTGTTATAATAAAATTGAAGTCACAAACGAATTCACATTTCACCTGGTGGGAAGTTCCAACAAAAAAGGCTACAGATATATTATTATCCCTGAGGACGACGATGGAATGTCTCAGAGGGTTATTTTTCTAGGTATGACTTACAGACTTTAAATAAAGAGGTTACTCCTTTCTTAAAGGCCGGTAACGCCTTTGAAATTTTTTTTGTATTGTAGATGTCAGATATCATCACCATCTGACAAGCCGTGTGCTTGCTTGCCCATCTACTACAAAAATGAAGTTGCATTGAACTGTCATGTGGCATACGGCAAAATAATTTAGGCGTTGTATCATACTGTCAACGTAACACATTGTTTATTCTGATGGCGTCACATTAAGTTTAATATATTATGGCTTATCCAGTGCAAACTACTAGACATAGTTTTTTTGAGCTTCTGAGTATGTAAGCAGTGAAATGTGACTGCTGTTGTATAAGTTTTAAAATTATATACTTATTTAATGTATTATTAACTACGTTGTATTACAATATTATACCCTGTTTTGTCCCACAGTCAAACGCTTCGGAACATTTGTATAATAAAGCTGAATTGCGAATTAAGTGCTCAAATTTAACATAAAATCAAATTCTATGGTCTAATGATTACCGCGCTTTTCCATTATAAGAGCAATATGAACACGAATACAATTGAATTGCACGCATTATTTAGTGGAAAATTTATGTGAATTCGTAACTATAGAAATCCATGATGTGTCGAAAATAAAAATTTCGGATAGCTAACGAATCTGCTGTAATAAAATATACAAAAAGCATCTAAACAGGCTATTACAGCCTATCAAAAGTCCACTGCTCAACATAGGCCCCCCCAGCGATTGCCACATGGGGGGGATCGGCATTGTTATTAGATAGATCTGCTGTCAATCTTCTAGTTTGTTGCCGTCTGTCGGCTTTTACGACAACTATGAAACAATATGAGGTAGTTGGTTTTTGACACTGTCACAACAAGGCCTTCAAGCTTTTTAGGACGTTACCATTTTCAAATATAAATAAAATTGAACATTGTGTTCCGTTAAGCTGTTTCTAAAACGATTTTTATGATTCAACTTAAGTAATAATTGCCACTATGGTAGTCTATTCCTACTCCAGGACATAATTAGCTTTATTTGAAATTTTCTTAACCTTTTTATTCCGTTACATTTCATCGAACCAGTCACCATACAGTATCCTTCTGTCTTTCTGTAAGACTACTTCAATACTTGTTAGCTAATACTAAATGTTTCCAGTATCCAAGTATACCTTGAAACTTGTTAATAACAATTATGTAAGTATACGTGTTGTAAATAATCTTTCAGGCGTCTGTTAGTGATAGCTTATTATTTATTATATTATAGAAGTTGAGGCGGAAGACTTTTGTTTATAATCATGTTATCGTTACCACCACATCTAAAGAAAAACTTGTCATAGTCAAATAAATGCAATACGCAAGCAAATGAAAAAATCAAAGTAATAACCTACTACGTAGATTTGCCTCACATGCCATTTGGAATCTCCTGAGAGTAAGTGTTCAGCTATGGGATGTCAGTTAAAAAGTTCTTTTTTAGGTGTTATATTTCGTAACTCAGAAGTATCAACAAATTACCTCAAATGTTCGTCTACTTGAAACTGAATTCCAAATATATTTGAATCAAACGTGATTTGAAGATTTTAAATCCGTGTTCTTCCTACAAAGTGCGAGTAGCAACGCAAAATGATGTTTATTGAAGTGATAATTCCTTTGATTTGTACCTTATCTGAGAGCGAATATTAAATCAAAAGTAAGTGCTATCAAATAAAAAGAATGTGTAGATCTATATTAAATATTCTTTAGCTCATATTAATCTCAGAATTATTAAATAGGCACCTTTGAAATGATCAATAAATCCTATATTTTGGTAAATTCTAAAGAAAGTATACACATGAGCTGCGGTGGCTCTGGAGAGTCGGAGTAAATCAAAGACTAAGCCGGTAGTGTTACCCTTACAGTCAATAAAAATTCCACTGCCGAACACAGGTCACCGCACACATCTGCCACGCTGCCACGCTGCCACGCTGCCACGCTGTCACGCATGGCAGGTGTGATAGCAACAGCAGTTTTTTTTATTTTTAGTTGTTATTAAGACGACTTTGCTCTTCAATTCCTCAGGGGTGACTATGTATTTTGCATTTTGAATCATAATCGAGAATAAAAATGTAGATTTATATGGGTCAAAGATCCACTTAATATCAGGTGAACTGTGAGCTCTTTTGCCACCCTTATCTTCTATAAACTAATATCATCATCATTACAGCCCTTCACAAGTCCACTGCTGAACATAGGCCTCCCCCAAGTAATGCCACAAAGCACGGTCCTGAGCCACCTGCATCCATCGACTTCCTGCATGTCTTACTAGGTCGTCACTCCATCTAGTGGGTAGTCGCCCTACATTACGCCTACCGGTACGAGGCTGTCACTCCAGAACGTTTTTTCTCCATCGGTTGTTGGTTCTTCGAGCTATATGGCCGGCCCATTGCCACTTCAGCTTACTAATCCATTGGGCTATGTCTGTCACTCTGGTTCTACTGCGAGTTCCTCATTTCTAAGTTTATCACGCAGAGAAACCCCGAGCATAGCCCTCTCCATAGTTTGACGAGCAAACTTGAGCGTCCTCATACGGCCAGCAGTGAAGGACCATGTCTCTGATCCGTAAGTTATCATTGGCATCATCACTATAAAATATAAAGAAGATTAATGGTTAAAACATTAATTTAAAACAATCATTTGAGTAAAAGAGTTTATAGAAAATGAAGAGTTGTTTTTAGCGTTAATCAGACCTCAAATTTTAATAAGATAATAAGTTTTTAAAATTTAATGGGAATAG